CCACTGCTGAACATAGGCCTCCCCCAAGTAACGCAACAAAGCACGGTCCTGAGCCACCTGCATCCATCGAATTCCAGCATGTCTTACCAGGTCGTCACTCTATCTAGTGGGGGGTCGCCCTACACTACGCCTACCGGTACGAGGCTGCCACTCGAGAACCTTTCTTCCCCATCGGTTATCGGTTCTTCGAGCTATATGGCCGGCCCATTGCCACTTCAGCTTACTAATCCGTTGGGCTATGTCGGTCACTCTGGTTTTACTGCAGATAACCCTCTCCATAGCTCGCTGAGCGACCTTGAGCGTCCTCATACGACCAGCAGTGAAGGACCACGTCTCAGATCCGTAAGTCATCACTGGCAAAACGCACTGGTTGTACAATCTAGTTTTTAGAGATTGAGGTATACCTGACGAGAAGATATGTCGTAATTTCCCGAACGCTGCCCAGCCGAGTTGAATCCGTCGATTGACCTCTCGGTCGAAGTTGGACTTACCTAGTCGGACTATTTGTCCCAGGACTCGTCAACAACTTCGGGCATAGTGCTCCCCACAACTACCGGCATAGGTGTGACATGGACATTAAACATGATCTTTGTTTTGCCCATGTACATCTTAAGACCTATCCGTTGGGAGACACCATTGAGGTCATTGAGCATAGTGCTAAGGTCCTCCAGCGATTCTGCCATAAGGACTATATCGTCGGCAAATCGAAGGTGAGTGATGTACTCGCCATTGATGTTAATACCGTATCCTTTCCAGTCCAGTAGCTTGAAAACGTCTTCCAACGCAGCGGTGAAGAGTTTCGGGGATATAACGTCACCCTGTCTTACACTTCTCTGCAGTTGGATAGGTTTCGAACTCTGGTTCTGTACTCGGATAGCCATCGTAGCCCTACTGTACAAACACTTTAGCACCTCGATATACCGACAGTCAACTTGGCACCGCTGAAGGGACTGTAGCACCGCCCAAATTTCGACGGAATCAAAGGCTTTCTCATAGTCCACATACGCCAGGCAAAGTGGCAGATTGTACTCCTCGGTCTTCTGTACAGTCTGCCGCAGGGTATGTATGTGATCTATGGTACTGAAGCCTTTTCGGAAACCGGCTTGTTCAGGAGGCTGGAAGTCGTCGAGTCTGCGTGCGAGACGATTCGTAATGACTCTCGAAAACAGCACGTAAACGCGGCTCAGAAGGGAAATCGGTCTGTAGTTCTTCAAAAGAGCGTTGTCGCTTTTCTTAAAGACAAAGACCACCGCACTTCTGCTCCACGCCTCCGGAGTAGTGCCACCATGGAGGACGGAATTGAAGAGCTTCTGAAGGACTTCAACTACTGGTATGCCACCTGCTTTCAGAAGCTCCGCTGTAATACCATCCTCGCCTGGGGCCCTGCCGTTTTTAAGGTGGTGGAGAGCCATTCTAATCTCGCTCAGACTGACGTCCGGGATATCATCGGAATAGTGTCGGGTAAGACTTGCTCTTGTATCGTTACTCACACTTGCGTGTGGCTCCAACGATGATGTGTACAGCTGCCCATAGAACCTCTCAATCTCACTCAAAATCTCAGGTGTCCCGGAAACGATGCTGCCACACTCAGTCTTCAGCTTTGACAGTTGGCTCTTTCTGGCAGACAGATCTCTGGCAAAGACTTTGGAGCCCTGGTTCCGCTCGATCGCTTCTTTAATACGAGAAGTATTAAAGTTGCGTAAGTCTTGCCGCATGCATTTGGAGATCTGTCTGTTCAGTTGCCTGTATGCTGTCAAATCTGTTGATGATTGCAGCCTCATCTCCCGTCTAACAGCCATGAGATTAAGAGTGTGATCGGAGAGTTTTTGTGTTCTTCTGCGGCGGGTCCTGCAGAACTTAGCTCCGATCGCATGGACAGTTTCCACGAGCTTGTCATTCATATCGTCCACTGCATTGCAATCTTCTAGGCACTGAAAGCGGTTACGTAACTCGAGCTGAAAAATTTCGGGATTCTGGATTAGAGCACGAATGGGACGAAGCGTTGACTTCATTAGACGAGACCTCCACAACTTAACGTTTAGGTTCAGTGTGCCTCTAACCATTCGATGATCGCTGCCGGTTTTCACCCTTGCGATCACTGAAACATCACTGAACAATTGGCGTCTGGTCGTCATAATGAAGTCAATCTCATTTTTTGTCGAACCGTCGGGGCTTCTGGAAGAAAGAGTTCATTATAAAGAGTCCCCCTTTCTCCATAAAGTCAGCCAGCTGCTGGCCCCTACGGTTCCGTTGCCCTACTCCAAATTTCCCTAACTTCAGCTCACCGCCTTCTCTTGTGCCTATTTTTGCGTTGAAGTATCCCATCAACACCGTGTAGTGGGTTTTGGAGGAATGCATGGCTCTAGAAATATTCTCATACATTTCCTCCACCTCCTCATAGGGATGTGCCGAGGTTGTTGCGTAGACCTGTATGACCTTCAGTGAATCCCGTTTGGTGATTCTGAGTATCAGGTACGCGACCCTCGACGACACACTCCCAATATTTACAACATTGTTGACGAGAGACTTGTGGACGATAAATCCGACACCTCCTTGGGACAGATGGTCGCCCTCCCGGTGATAGAACAAGTTGCCGGACCCGAGGATTACCGTGTCCTCCCCCTCTCTTCGGACCTCAGATAAACCAATAATATGCCAGCGCAACTTATCTACCTCTTCTTCCAGCTCCAGTATCTTCTCGTCAGTCCTCAGGGTGCGTGCGTTATACGTTGCCAGGTCGAGTCGTCGTAGGTGGCAACCGAACCTCCACCGGAGATTCTTAGCACCCCCAGCCCCGCCGTTACCATGGTCGCCACCGTAGCCAGGAATAGCGGGGCCGCCGGGGACTGGGGGCCGTTTATTTGTGTCGTTGCTCATGGGGGGATATTTGCCATAGTTGCCACGCTTGGCGAGCGGGTTGGCAACCGCAGTTTTTTATTATGTTATTGTTATTATTAGGAAGATGCTGCTGCCCATCTCCTGCCTGTCTCCCTCTGTCGCCTCTTACGACACCCACGGGAAGATATGGGGTAGTGGATATTCTCAACCGCCACTACACGGAATTATCTATGAAATTGTCAAATGATAAATTAAATTCTTTGATAATTATCTTAAATCTAAATAACACCGAATTTACAAGTTTTACATAAGCGAAGGCGGGTTGGATCGCCAATAAATACTGTAATTGTAAAAAGCAATGATGATAGTGGACATAGTGCATAACAAGAATTCTAATAGTTTTTTTCGTAGCAAGGTCCTGCGCAATATTTTACAACTTCGTCATGTTGTGTCGGAACTGAGTAAAAGATATGAAAAAGTTTGAGAAATGTATTTCGATCTCATTGTGGCTTGGTTATTTTATCGCTTGTACATGTTCTATTTCACAAACAGAAGTTATACTTTTAATTAAAATAAAAGTCAGTTAAAGTTAGGTGATAGTCTGCATAATGTGGGGCACAAATCTCCCCTAAACTACGAGTGGATTTTCAATTAAATGTGATCAAAACTATATTTGTAGGTATTTTCATTAAAATTATATTTTTAATATTAGTACAAATTATGCCACTTCTGATAGTAGAAACGTATTATTATAAAAAGGATATTTTTAAAATAGAAATAATTAATCACTATCAGCAATTAAACAGTGTACCGCACAATATATTCTATATAGAGCCGAAAAATTCGATCACACCGTAATACGCTATTTATTACTTATTTTATATTTATTATGTACATTATGTAACAAAAACCCTGTTGGTCGTTTCAAGGACGTATAGGTGTACACATAGGCATGGTAATTATGATAATGAAAATTTTTTTTGGTTGCTTTAAATGGGGTTTTTAGGTTTCTAATAAGATAACTGAAGAAATATTAAATTTCTAAAAATGTTATTTGCTTCTGAACTTACCAAAACGTGCCGACATGATATTATCTACGTCACAGAATAAATAATAGTCTACGGCCGATATGAGGTCACTGACATGGCCGACTCAAAGCAAGCCGCTAAGCGGCGCGTGCTTCCCCAAGGTTTTTATGTAAATCTTTATACCTATCTAGACTCAGTTATTCTCAGAAAATTTTAATTTCAAAATAATAGAAATTATAAAGAAATGGTTATTATTTCAACCCCAATACACATAGTATTTTTTATAGTATAAGGAGACAAACAAGCACACAGTCTACCTGATGGTAAGTGTTTGCTGTGGCCCGTAGACATCTACATCTATCCTCGATTACGAATCAAAATGCAGATGCGTTGTCACCCGTGAGGATTAAGATGGAATGCCTCATTTCCAGTAAAAAGGTTCTCCAATTCTCTACACTCACCATATGAAATACAGCAGCATTAAGCAACCATTTCACGCTGGTATTCTGTGAGAGCGTGGTCCTTCCCCGGTCGAGCCGACCCATTCGTGCTACAACTATACATCTAGTATCATGATGTATATTATAAGTATCATTTGAATACTTATGTTATAAATTTCTACTTTTTTGCTAAATAGATCTACGATAATATTTAAAAAGGTTATTTCATGCATAAAATATCGTGATTAATTCCAAATTTGCAACCATTTGTAGGAGAAATTTAGTATGTATAGGAGGATACAAGGATCATTTGGCACTTGCATGACATTGACATGAGGGCGTGGGTGTTCACTAACGGTTACCAGCTCAAAAAATCCTTCGTTTTATTGAATTCGTCTTAATTATGGAGTATGGGGCTTGGCGTATCCCAACTAATATTATAAATGCGAAAGTGAGTTTGCTTGTTTGTTTGTTACGCTTTCACGCCCTATCTACTGAACCGATCATCATGAAATTTTACATACACGTTGGGAATGATGTTATGGCGAAAGCTAGTTGGGTTATATAACTAGGTTGTAAAATGGTTTTTGCAGGCTCAGGCTTACCATAAGGCAGGCATTATGCTTAGTTGCTACCTTAGTAGTATAAATTAAAAGAAGGAAATATTTGGATGACAGAATTTATAACATGAAAACTATAATCGAAATAAAAAACAATATTTCAATTTTTTTTTACTATAATTATGTTCTGCATGAACTATGACGAGAGGTTCAATGCTATTAAATTCTTCATCACTTTCATCTTGAGAATCGTCATCACTGCTTTCTTCACTCTCAGAGCATAATTCCACAATGAAAGGAGCATCCAAATATCCATCTTTACTTCTGTATTCTTCTTCAAGTTTCTTGACGTGGGCACAATGATTGCACCATTCTTCGACGGGAATGGAATTAAAAGCTTCCTGTACCATTTCTGGCATTTGATTGGCTGGTTTGCCAATATTTACCTCAGCTACTTTGCGTTTCATTGATGCCCAGATCATTTCAATAGGATTGAGGTCACAATGATACGGTGGTAAACGCGATATCTGAAAAAGAAATAAGCAATTTTAAATAAACCCATAGTCATTTATTTTAATAAAAAATAACAATTTATGAAGTCACTTTACTAGTAGATTTAGTATTTAAGTCATGATTACCTTGTGACCCAGTCCTTTAAAAATAGCATCAACAGCATACCCTGGTTCGGGCTTATATCTATTGACAATTTCCAATAATTGTGGTCTTGTGTATTCTACTGAATATTCAGTATTGTTATTTTGTAACCACTCAATTATTTCTAGTTTTCTGGTAGTTGTGTTTTGTTGATGCGTGTGTTGTGATATGGAGCGTTGTCCATTATAATTAAACTGGGTTTTGTCAAATTAGGAGCTAACTTTTCTGCAACCCATTTTTTAAAATTTGTGTGATTCATATCATCATGGTAATCACCACCTTTTGTTTGTAACTTGAACACCAAACATGCATTCTCTACAAAACCTTCATTACCTCCGGCATGGACAATAATAAATCTTTGTCCTTTGGAGACAGGCTCTAATACTCCATCTGAAATCAATCGCTTGTACATTAACAAATGCAAATAACACTAATTAACTAGATTATATATATATATAGTTAACTAAACAATACCTTCATCATCATCCTGCCAACATTTACCAGCTGTATGACCGGAGTGAATATATGTCTCATCTAAGTAAATGACTGGTAATTTTTCTGTCTTGTCATTACGCTTCATAGTCTGAAATAAAATAATTCTATGTTACTCATGAATAAGTGTGTCACTTTAATTTAAAATACATAATGAATAGTAAATAAATGTACCTACCTGAAGATAAAGAGCGCGCCAAGCAGTTATATTGTTAAGTTCCATCAGTACTTTTCTATTGCTTTTAGTTTTTTTATATCGAAAACCAATCTTTTTTATGTGCTGTCTGAGAATTTCTCTACTGCCAGTGAATCCAATCTCTTCTTTAAGTAGACGAAGCAACTTATTCACTGTTGATATTTCTTTTTACAAGAATAAAACTCATGGATCTTTCGTCTAAGAACACCAATATCAAAATTGTCCGTAACTACTTTACTGGTTACTATTTTACTTGACGATTCTTTAGCTAATTTCCCTTCATTTGTAATTCTTGCAACTGTTCGTAAAGATATACCTGAAATCGTATTTATTTTTATCAATTTGAAGGAGAAAATATATCTCATAATATGCCTACAAAATATGACCACTATCCTTGGTAAATAAAACGAGCAAACTAAAGATACTATGTATGGCATCACTTACCTGTAGCAGCTGCAACGCGCTCATTTACTCTTTCAAATGGAATAACAGGGGCGCTAGATTGCTTTTCCTTCATAAAAAATCTCTTCACATTTAGCACTACCTCTCTAGTACCACTTCTTATCAATTTCGGCATATTTTGAGATTTATAAACGGCACTAAAAGCAGTAAATAACGGTATACAACAACGACTTGAGCCAGCTGTCTAAACGGACGTTTTACAAGATGGCGGCAATGACGGCGTTTAGTTCCGATTATAGCCACGTGCCAAAAAATCCATGCAGCACTGTATTTTTCATATGAAATATTATTCGATAAAGAATTTATGTAGTAGGTAGTAATTATTTTTTTAAATAAATTCATATTGTCGTTTATTGCTAGAATATAATAAACAAAACAAAATTAATAGGTAATATACGCGGCGTTTTGCGCGCTCTTTGAACTCAAAAGCGAAAGCCGAGGAAGGACTTAGGTACTAGGAAAAACCAAAAAAACTCCACTCTTCCAGTGATAAAAAGAAGTGTCCACTATATGCCGATTAACTAATTTTGATCCAATATCTATTATTTATTCTGTGCTAATATTTAGTAGTAATATTTAAAACATGGGAAGTTTTATGAACATAAAATTTTGTTACAATTCAGTGATCAAGAATAAAAATAAAAATAAGGGTTGTTTATCGTTGGTCGATAAAACATATAAGCCGGTGCCGCAAATGTGTGAGAGGTGAACATATTGAACAACATCTTCGTGGTCGTCGTATCTATTATTTATTTTGTGCTAATATTTAGTAGTAATATTTAAAAACATGGGAAGTTTTATAAACATAATATTTTGTCACAATTCAGTGGTCAAGAATAGAAATATCAATAAGTATTGTTAATCGTCGGTCGATAAAAAAATGCTAATTATCAGATTTTGAAAAACCTAGCAGCATAATAGTTTAAGTATTTGTTATTGTGTTGATTTATACCACAATTTTTTAAATGTTTCTTGTTATAAAAGTGTTTTAATGTATTTTTATTAATCCTAGCTATAATTTAATTTCTTAATAACACTTACGGACGCTGTCTGAAATAAATAAATAAATAATAACTATTATTAGAAAAATTACATAAAATATCACGAAATTTTTATCGATTTAGAAAATATCAAAATTATGTTATAGAGTACAATAGCTTTGCCACGTCTATGTAAACAAACAAGCATCAAGCACCAGTAGTGCGTTAGCACTGATATTGACGGTTGTGTTTTATATTGCGAAATTAATATTCCGCCGTGAGTGACTTGTGTGCGATGTCTTATTCAAACGAGGAATATTTTAATATATTGACGTGTCTCGGGAAATGTAACTGTAATTATGCAGCAGCACGAAGACTTTACGGGGAGTGCTTTGCTACTCCACGAAATATACAATTGCCGTCGGCAATGACGTTCCAACGACTTCACATTCGTATGTACAATACTGGCAGTGTGCATGGCCGTGATCAACAACGTACAGATTCAAGAAGACCAACGTGTACGACGACGGCATTGAGGAGCACATTCTCGACATGTTTAAGGAAGATGCGACGCGGAGCACGCGCTCGGTGGCACGTGAACTAGGTGTGAAATGCGCGTTTGGAGAGCCCTCAAAGATGATGGCCAGCACCCATATCATTATCGTCGAGTTCAGTGTCTTCTTCATAAGGACTACGAGCCGAGAATGGATTACTGTAGATGGTTACTTGATAAGGTTGAAGGAGATTCTGAGTTTTTTGAACCGCGTTCTTTTTACGGATGAATGCTCTTTTGTAAGAACAGGTGTATTTAATGCTCATAATGAACACGTATGGTCAACGACAAATCCGCATTCGCATAAACCAAGCCACTTTCAACACCAATGGAAAATCAATGTGTGGGCGGGAATTATAGGTGACAAAATTATTGGTCCGTATTTCCTAGACCACACAATGAGCGGTGAAAACTACCGACGTTTTTTGCGAGAAGAACTAAGCAATGAACTTGACGAAATAAATTTAGACCTCGTTCGTCGCATGTGGTTTCAACACGATGGTGCTCCACCGCATTTCTCCCGTTGTTTTTTGGATACTGAGTTCAGTGAAAGATGGATTGGCCGCGGTGGACCGGTCAACTGGCCGGCACGATCACCTGATCTCACACCTTTAGATTTTTATCTCTGGGGTACGATTAAGCAAACTGTATTCCAAAAAACATGCGATACCGAGGCAGAAATGCGTATGCGTATAGTCGCAGCCTTTGAAAAAATAAAGTCCGAAATTGTTGCAACGCGTGCGTTCATACATTATAAGTCGGTGTCACAAGTGTATAGAGGTGCAAGCTAGACATATTGAACAACATCTTCGTGGTCAAGTAGACATAGTGATAAATTAGTGTTTGACTATAACAGCTGTGATGTGACGAGGTCACGACCTCAGTGTGCAGTTAGTGTAGGTAAGACGCGCGCGCGCACGCCCCATCTTTGATGTACGTCACCGCTGGCCGCCACCCGCCGCTGTCGATAATTCCAGGTAGAGGTAATCAATCCACATAAAATTCACAAATATTATTTAATTAATGTTTAATTTGATTATTTTTATGTCGGGTTTTCTGAAGTAAAGTTATTTCTATACGTTTGAATACTGATTCTGATAACGCACTTAACGGGAACCACAGGGTTTTTGTTACATATTTTATATATATATATATATATATATATATATATATATATATATATTTGATAAAGCTAGTCGCGTGCGCCGTACTTTAGGCATCTGTAGTCCGACTGATTGTATTTTAAAATAGATAGCAATTGTGAACTATTTTTTGTAATAAAATTTTATGTCTTTTTACAATTCTTTATAAATCTTCGCGATAATGTATGCAAAGAATATAAATTATACCGATTTCATCGTGTTTATTTTTAAATTATTATTAAGAATGACTTGAATAATTACATAACTGACAGTTTAGTTACGAGAATAATTTACGATGCAAAAATGTATTATTTGGAGTAATATGTAAAAAAATAATATTAGAAGAGCCGCCTGGGATTTAAACCAGCGCCGCATCTCAATGCCAATCCACTGCGCCATGAAGCTGTCAAAAAAAAAACAGAGGTAGAATTTATCTACTCAATTACTCGACTCAATATAACGGTTTCGTTTTTTGTACCATATGACTTATACGACATATGACAGATATATGACCACATTAATTAATAATCTCGAGGCTTGTTTGCCACCTCATTAATCATTGCGGAAAGCCTCTGTTAATTTATTACTCTATACCTACACCACTGCAAAAGGCATTCTACACGGTCGGGACGAACTGTGACCTTGGTTGAGTTGATGGAAAAATGGACAGTGTAGACATCGATTGTCTGACCAATATTTTGGTTGATTTCGGACAGCCTTGGTCGCGAGCGCATCTCTTACGATACGTCGGGTCCGTGGTTGACCCCGACCATCAGGAAAGCTGTCGGCCGACGAGAGCGCCTCAGCGCGCGGTTATCAGTTGTTGCGGGGTAAAATAACCATGGTCACGGGCGCATGTTACCGCACGTTGCAATGGCGCACAATTTCAAGTAATTCATTAAAAGTGTCTTGATCCATTCTTAGAAAATTTTGAAAGACTTCAGAATCAAGAATCCTTGAAATATTGAGATGGTTCAAAGTAGTTCGCTCTTTTAGCCACAGT